AGAAGTGTCGGCGTTTCCTACGCCTTAGCGCCGAGAAGCGGCTCCGAGCGGTTCTTGTGAACCGGTACTGCTCGAGCTGCCTGGCCCACGAGCACTCCGACGGATCCTGTCGTCGGGGTGACGGTTGTAAGACGTGTGGACAGGATCACCACACGCTGCTGCATCTCGTGGAGAAGCCGCGGGCTCGGCGCAAGGCACGCCAAGAGGAGCACCGGTCACGGAGCGCGGGAGTCAGGACACAGAGTGTCACGTCTGGCGCCCGGCCGTCATCCGCCAACTCCCGGCGCGGTTCGGGTGCTCCTCGGCCTGGGTCCGCCACTTTCCGGCAATCCCAACCCGATCCACGGCCACCGACGTCCCGGCACTCGTCGATGCATCCTCGGCCTTCGTCCGCCACTCCTCGATTGCCAACCCCCGCTCATCCGCCCGCGTCATCCGCACCTAGGCAAAGTTCCGCCTCTCGTCGAGGGCCCCCGCTGGACGCGGTCGCTGCGCCCACCCTCTCATCGCTGTTGCAACGGAACAGCGTCAACGTGCTGCCGACTGCACTAGTGCGGATCGACACCGGGACCCGGAGCTTCGATACGGGGGCCCTCATCGACCCATGCACGCCCTCGAGCTGCATCGACGCCTCGCTCGCTGCGTGTTTCCGGCTGCCCACTACCAGCGTGGGGGACGAACAGGTGTGTTCCGCCACCGTGGGGTCAACGACCGATGACAGCGTTCGGCTGGAGGTCATGTTCAAGATCGAGCCTCACGTGCGAGTTCGTACGCCGTCCCGGGAGCTGAGCGAGGCGGTGCGTGCCCACTTCCGAGGCGTGACCCTGGCGGATGAGCGATTCCATCTGCCAGCGACAATCTCCGTCGTCCTGGGTGCAGATATGTACCCACGGATTATTCAACCGGGCTTCCTGAAGATCCAGGACGGACTCCCAGTGGCCCAGAGCACCGTGTTTGGATGGGTCGTATCCGGAGCCTGCCACCAGCCATAACTTCGAGGGAGCTATTGCAACCCGAGTGATTGCAAGGGGGGCGGAATGTTTAGGTGAGGGGCCGTGGTGCCACTCACCTGAAGAGCGCATCCGCGCTGAAGAGCGCACCCGCGCTAAAGAGCGCACCCGCGCTGAAGAGCGCGTCCACACTCGCCCCTCTATGCCTCTCTTCTCGCTCGTTGGCTGTCGGCGATCTCTTTTTTTTCCACTAGTTTTTAAGTTCAATCTCATGTAAGCAGCCGAATAAAGCTGACCGCGTTATACCATCCGAAAGACGCCCCCGACTTCTTATTTCATTCTAAACCTTTCTGGAATCTTTTTGCGGAACCACGCCCCCCTACACAACAATTATTGTAAAAATAAGTGTCGGATGACAAAATGCCGGAAGGACTCCCTTGAAATTTTATTAGCATTTTATTAGCGGGACATAATGAAGAATAAAACAATTTACAATTGTAAAAATAAACAAAAATATTACAATTGAAGAAAAAAAAAAAAAAAAATAATTATAAAAGAAAGAAAAAGTTCAAAGTCCTTACGAGAATTTGAACACAGAAAAATAACACATAGAGTAACTACTCTATGCATTACGCTACCACCATGTCTCGATCTGCAGCGATCAAAAATACTATTTGTTCTACCAACTACACCACCGGCGCATCGAAAACAGAAACGAGAAATTGAAATTGAAATTTGGAAGCCAAAACATTTTTACGCCGTCGAGCGAGCAGTCACACATACATACATACAAAGGCTCACATTGTAGTTGACGGATACATGTAAAGAGTTCTAAAAATAGAATCGTATGCATGTGCGTTCCCCCCTCACCAACAAGCTCGACGCAAAAAGTTGACCGTTTTGGGCCCTGATGTCCCATCTATGTACTTTATAATCTTTGCTTTAACCCAAGAATACTACCGGAACATGCTCTGGTTTGTCGATATCCCTGGAAAACAGGGAAAGAGCTACTCGCAACCTTTCTTCATAACCCGAAAGGCATCCCCTTCGAGAAAGCGACCAGGGCTGAGTCCAGTAAAGTCCTGGGATAGGCAACTGGAAAGAAACTCGAGACGACGAACCCTGGGCTGACGGACAGCTGTATTCTGGCACCTGAGTACGCGGAGTGAGCTTCCGCCGAAATGGCTGAAAACGCTCCTCAGGTGTCGCCACTAAGCTGACCGTGCAGGCTCAGATGAACCATTCCTGACCTACGCGTATCTGCCTCTGAACTCTACACCTCGTACTGGGCTGGAGTCAACCCTAGCATGGACCTGCGCGCAAAGGTACCCATGGGATCAAGGACGCGACTGCATAACACCTAAGGACAACGGCTCAGGAGTTGGGACACTTTAAAATGAGTGCCATAACATCAATGAATTCAGTTGGAGAGGCGGCTTTCGCGAAAAGCTGCAAAATTTTAAGATCACCCAGCAGCAAGCTGGATGGTACCCCTCCGAGTGGATGGGATCCGAGTGACCCAGAACAGGAGTAAAAATCAGAAGGCCGGAGACGCAACAACACTGCAGGAACTCGGGAAGGAGATCGCGCAGCTAGTGGAGATGCTGGAAGACGGCAAAAGGAGGTCCAACCACCAGCCAATGAGGGACACCATAGTGAGCATCCGAGCTCTCTACGAGCGACTGGACGCTCAGACGGACGAGCAGGGTTCATCAGAGTAAGGAAGCGCCTAAATCCCACCAGGCGTCACAAACATCGCCCCTTTTTCGACCGGTAGCGGAACCCAGGAGGAAGGGAACAGGCCCAGACCCCCCCAACAACAAGAGGAGCAAGAGGGAGACTTCGCAGGCAGCGACTCGAACGAGGGCGGAAGCCAGGGCACTAGGGCATACCGTGGAATCTGAAACTCAGGCGAGGTCCAAGGTCCAAGAATGGAAGCTGGTTGGCCCCAAAAAGAAACTGCCGAAGAAGCAGCGGGCAACTAGCTCAATTCCCAAGGAGAAGCCAAGGCCGGACGCACTAGTCATCACGGCTAAGGGCGAATCTAGTTACGCCGACATCCTGCGACGGGTGAAGCAGGACAAGAAGCTGCAAGGACTACTGCTCCTACTGAAGAGGTCAGGGGAGGAAACAGCAGCTTTCAAAGCCCTGGTCTCGGAATCGGTAGGGGATCAAGTGGAAGTGCGCTCCAAGTCGCACAAGATCGAAATCGAGTGTAGGGATCTGGACGAGATCACTACAAAGGAGGAGGTCTCTGAAGCCATTGGAAAGCTGGTGGAATCTCAAGGGGTGCCGGTAAGCGACATCCATTTAAGGAAGGCTTTTGGCCAGACGCAGATGGCAAAAGACTGCGCGGAAGAACCTAAGTGTGCGTTCTGCAGCAACGCCGGGAAGGAAGCAGGACACATAGCAGGAAGTGGGAAATGTCCGTTGTTTGCCCTCTCACAAAGGAAAAGCTGATAAAGTGTACCCAGCTCAACCTCAACCATTGCGAGGCGGTTCAGTCGCTGCTTAGGCAGGTTCCAGAGACGAGCAGACACAGGTAGTCCTCATCTCGGAACCATATAGGAGCATCCCAGGAAACGGATGGCTGGCAAGCAGCTGCAAGGGAGCGGCTCTGTGTTCACCGGAGACGGCTCCCCAGGACATTAGGACATCCAGCGAAGGTTTTTCCGGGCCAAAATAAAGGGGGTTGCATTTTACAGCTGCTACGCCCCGCCAAGATGGGAAATCTCGCGCTACCTAAGGATGCTACGAAGCTTGGTTGCGGATGCAAGAGGCAGATCGCCGGTGGTCATTGGAGGGGACTTCAACGCCTGGTCCCCGGATTGGGGAAGCCGAGCACCGAACGAGAGGGGCACCAGTCTCCTGGAACACTTCGCGGCACTGGACGTGGTTTTGGCCAATAGAGGCCAAAAGCTGACGTATAGCAAGGCAGGGCGTGGATCTATCATCGACATCACCTTCGTTAGCAGTGCACTAATAAGGAGGTGCAACTGGGAGGTCAGCGGTTCTTTTACTTTCAGCGACCATACACTTCACCCTTGGAGGGGTAAGTAAGAAACGGATTCCCAAGGTGACAGGACCGAAATGGAAGGACACGAGTTTGGATCGAGAAGCACTCTCAGTAACCCTGCAGACGCTGGACCGGACTTCATCGTCCTCCCCGGAGGGAGCAGCGGAGGAACTCTCAGGATCACTAGCACATGCTTGCGACAGTGCCATGCTTAGGAGGAAATCCAGCAGAAGAGGAGCACCATTATACTGGTGAAACCAGGACATCCAGCAACTAAAGACCGCCTGCCTGCGTGCTAGAAGACGCTTCCAAAGGGCAAGAGGCTCAGAGGACCTAGCCACCAGAACGGAGGAGCAGCTACGACGGCCTTGAAACTGGCTATAAAAGCAAGCAAACGTGAATGCTTTAAAAAAATCTGTGACGAGGCGGAGGTGGACCCATGGGGCACAGCCTACAAGGTCGTCATGAAAAGGATTAAAGGGCAAGAACACCTTAGACCAACATGCCCTACCCTATTAAGGAAAATAGTGGAGGCTCTGTTCCCGAAGCACCCGCCAAAAAGGGAGACTATACCAGCCGATGATGGGGAGCCGTGTACGCCAGTTACTGAGGAGGAGAACCGGAGCTACGTCCAAAAGATTAAGGCTGGAAAGACTCTAGGACCAGACGGAAATAAGGAGTATTGCGCGATGGTAACACTAGACATCCGCAACGCCTTCAACTCGGCTAATTGGACACGTATCCAACGAGCCTTGTTCTTGGCAGGCGCTCCTAGATACCTGCAACTAATAATTTCCAGCTACCTTTCAGATAGGACACTGCTGTACGACACGGACGACGGACCAAAATCCTATGAGGTGACTGCGGGGGTACCGCAAGCCACTTCTTTGGAACATAATGTACTCAGGATCCAACTACCGACAGGATGTAAACTCATCAGATTCGCGGACGACCTGGCGCTGTTCGTGGTGGCGAAGGAAACCAAGGACGTGGAAACCAATGCGAATGAAGCAATACGGAGAATTTCAACATGAATGACTTACTCTGGACTGGACCTAGCAGCACATAAAACGAAGGCAGTTCTCTTCATGAGCAGGAAGAAGGTGGAGTACATTACCATCCAGGTGGGCAATTGCTACATCACGTCAAAGGAGGCAATTGAATACCTAGGGGTAATGCTGGACAACAGGATGTCCTACGGAGCGCACGTGGAGTACTCCACCATAAAAGCTGCAAGGATCCAAGGAGCACTCTCAAGGATGCTGCCCAACGGGGGAGGCCCAAAGGAAGGCAGGAGACGTCTTTTATCCAGTGTTGTCACGTCGGTCTTGCTTTACGCAGTGCCGATATGGGCTGCGTCAGTCAGAAGACAACAGGGGCTTAAGAAAAAGCGGCTTTAGAACCATATCCGAGGAAGCCGCCCTCGTTCTAGCCGGAATGATCCCAATTGATATACTGGCAAATGAAGCGGAGCAAGTCTATGCATCCAAACGGCAACGGGGAAGGAATTTATCCCGAGAGGCCATCAGGAGGTCAGCCCGACAAGCGGCATTATCCTCATGGCAGGAGAGGTGGGATTCAACGACCAAAGGAAGATGGACACATAGGTTAATCCCAAACATCCAGTAGTGGATCGGAAGAACCAACGGTTAGGTTAGTTACCAGCTTACCCAGTTTCTTACAGGTCATGGGGGGTACGACGAAAGTCCAGTGTGCCCCAACTGCCCAGGAGCAGACGAGGACCCAGAGCACATTTTGTACAATTGTAGAAGATATCGTGCCGTCGTCGGATCGCTACCAGATCCGGAGCAGCTTGTGGAATACATGTGTAGCTCACAGGAGCAATGGGACTGGGTAAACCAGCCAGTTGATAGCTTATACACAGGGCGACTTAAGAAAACTTGAAAATGAACGTCGCTTAAGGGAGAATGCCTAGATTAGGCAACCCTTCCCCGCGAAGTAATACTTTGCAGTGGTACCGCGGGGTCTGTGGTGTGTGAGGGGGTGTCTTTAGTACGTAGGCGCCGGCTAGACATGCCGGTGAATCGTGCGTGCTATTGGTACGGGCCAATAGAATCTAGGATAGATTTTCACCTCAATGGCGCAATCCAAAAAAAAAAAACAACATATTTTTTTGGTGCAATTAATCCGCGAAAAATTCGAAACTGAACAGTGAAATTGTGTGGTGACAAAAAGAAGGCATAATTAATATTGGCCAGCCGGTGTAATTTAGTTCCGGAATTTCCAAATTCGCCGAACAGTCCGCCGCTGTCGTAATATTTGTTTTTTATCTTCCCCAATCAGTGTCATTTTTTACACCACATAACTTTTCTGTTCCCCCAATTATAAAGTCTACTTATCAACGCTCCACTGTGCCAACATATGCCCACATGCTCTTACACATATCCGTACCTGCATGCATGTCCCTACTTGCATGCATGTCCATATATTTCCAACTATTATCTGGCTCCAATTTCTAGAAATATATAACCGTTAAAAAAAAAACTTTAATTTCCTAAAACCTACAATTTTAAACCCGCATTTCACTACAAATCCATGATTGTGTCGCGTAAATTCTCGAGCTAGCCGCCTTAGAAGCCGTGTTGTGTTTTTTTTTGGTGCTGGTTTTTTTTCCTTGGGGTTCATACAGGGTTCCGACGGCATAACCGGCTGCGTAACAACTACCTTCAACAAAAGGAATCAATTAATTATAAATTTATATTTATAATTATAACCACCACAATTTATTTAATTATTACTTCTGTTCGAGCGAAGGGCCAGGTTTGTTTTAAGTCACCGTTCCGGCCACTCGACAATTAAAATTATTAAAAAAAAATTAATAATCGAAAATTATTAATAATTTACTTATCAACCTCCTGTCCAAATAAAGCCGCGGTTTCAATTTCACCTTTCCGGCTTCGGGATAACTAAATCCAATCAATTAAAGATTAAGGTTTCAAATCTACGTTTCCATAATAATTACATCCGACAATTAGCCAAAAATTAGTTATTATTGATTTTTTCTTTTTTTGTGTTGAATACAAGCCAAGGTCAAGTCCACCTTTCCGACTCCGCAAGATCGAAAAGATTTAAGGACTCAATATCTACGTAGGAACCACACTTGTATACATATACATATATACATATAATTATATATCTTCTTCAAAATAGTTTGAAAAAATATATTTTTTTTTGAGTTCCGGTTTTAATACAGTGTGATTCTTTCAAATTGCTTAGAATTTCAGAACAACTGCTTAGAATGTTAGAATTTTAGAACTGACTTATCTTTAGCGCTCTAGGTCCTTTTTATAGCTATCCTTGCTGAAGCTTTTTGCAGATCAAAGCTCGAAAGAAGCTTTTCTCTCTGAGAGGCTTTGTTTTCTGAAGAGAATAGATTGAGTGGGAACCTTTTACTTAAGGTGTCAGTTGACATGGAAGGCTTTGGGTCTCAATTAATCGAGGTGACAAGAAAATGTGAAGTGGGTTCCCATTTAAGAATGTTTTGATCTGTTTAGTTTTAATTCACTTAAAAGGAGTGAGAAAGATTTGAGTCGGGATTTCTGTTTACCCAAATATTGTTTTGGTTTTCAATCTGAAGTGACTCTTAGAAATTGGAAATCTGAAATGAGGCTGTTTTCAGCCGAATTGGAATAATTAAATGCTTATGTTTTTACAAAAATTGGAATGAGGCTATTTGCAGCTGCGTTACGAATTTCAATACAAAAGGCTTCAGCTTCCGTTTACAAAATTTACTGATATACACTTAAAGAAATTTTGTTGATATGTTACTTCCCCATCCTTAAGAATTTATCCTGTCCTCAGGCGGTTAGTTTGGGGTATAACTGTAGGTCATGTTCTTTATTTTCTGAACCTTTAGTTTCTTCTTTGGGACTAATAACCTTTTGTTTTTATAATTAATTATTATCCTTTTTGGGATGTTCTTAAATTTATAAATCAAATATATGATTATAATAATAATTATTATTGATAGTAGTATTAATAGAATTGTTTGGGTTGTAAAATATTGTTTTAAATGGTTTTGGAATATTTCTTTGGCTACGATATAAATAGTTCGGGTGTAATCAAGCATAGTATTTGTTATTATTACATCTTCTATTTGTATAGAACAGTTGAATGCTTTTATTATATTGTTTCCTTCTGCAATTAAATCTTTATTTAAACAATTCTGATTTAGCAAAGTTTTTGGCAAATTCCATGTTATTATAATGTTGGGTTCAATATAATTTAATTCGAAGTTCTTGTACATTTTTGTATATCTACATTCAGTATTTGTTTGTCTTAAGAGACCTATTATACATTTATTATTTACTATTTCTTTTGTTTTTACTTCAAAGACTTGCTGATTTTTTATGTAATATTCATCATGCAATGTTTCGGTTATTATATTCTGATTTTGATCCGGATACGGTAAAATTTTATAAATGGGGGTTTTAATAATAGTACGAGGAATATGAGAAATTATCAATATTTCGTTAGTATTAACTTGTAACCAAGTAGATGTTTTGATATTTAACAATTTTTCTGAATTAATATGTTTAAGCGGGTCATGTTTTAGGAGCTTTGGGTTGAATATGCCTAATCTTGTAAATTGCATTCCTAATTCAATGTCTTCTACGTATTCTGTAAATTCTTGTAAATTGAAAATAAGGATTGCTAACCTTTGGTTTTCGTTTTGGTTTTCATTTAAACGATTGACTGTTTCTATTCCTTTATTAATTGCATCAATTACTTTATTTAATTCGTTGATCTGTATACTATTTTCGGACAAATTATCAATTTTTGATTCTAATTCTTCCCTATCTTGTTGATCCAATGTGCCAAATAAATATTTATAAAAGGTACCTACGAAATTTGCAAGTCCTCTCTTGTTTCGTTGAGCAATTTTGATTCCGTTCATTTCTCTATTTAATTTTTCTTTTAGATATTGAATTTGATCCAAATGTTTAAATTCACGTGTTTGTTCCATTAGATTTTTATAAGTTTTTTCAGTTTTAGTTAAATTGACTGTGAGACAATGATATTCATAATTAGTGGGCAGATCTATGTTACCTGTTTGGAAAATTAAGTATCCATTTTTTGCTTGGATTGGATTGATATCTATGTTCTGACACACGGCGTGATATATAAGACATAATAAAGTTATTATATAAAAGATAATTTTATTAAGCTGGGTTGTCTTCCGGTGGAAATCTGGAATTATTATATTTGCTGGTATTCATTTTCTTCTTCTTGTTGAATTTCGATTTATAGTGAGTGATTTCTCTACCTCTATTTTTTCTACATAATGTTTTTCGTCGGTTTGTGTAATTTGGCCTGTCTTCCTAAAAGGATTTGTTGTTTTAGATTTTACAAGTGGGGCTTGTCTATTCACTTGAGTATTATAACTTGGAGTTCCGGCGAAAATAAAAATGTCAGCTGGTGTTCTGCCTGTAGAGCTATGTTTTGTTTTATGATTATAAATATAAACAATTGTTTCAAGTTTAGTAATTATATTTTCAGGATTCCGTTCAATATTTATAATTCTTAATTTTTCGTTAATAGTTTTATGAAATCTCACTATGTCAAAAACGCCATTTTTTACTTGTGGTTATAGTTATTCTTACATCTTCTGATTGCAGCCAAAGTTGCAATGCTGAGCACATAAATGCGGAATCTTTGTCGACTTTAATTTCTTTTGGTTTACCCATTTCATTAAATATCCTGAGTAATGCCCTTTTTGCTTCTAACCAATCCCTACTGTTGACATTTATTAAAGCAGCATATTTGGAATAAATATCAATGCAAGATAAGAATTGTTTATTATCGATCATGTAAAAGTCTATAACATATTTTTCTCTGGGGTTAAAGGTTTCTGGGGTTAATTCAAATGTAAGTTTTGTATCTCTATGCTCTGTTTTAGCAAGGTTACAAATTTCACACTCATTTATAATATTTTGAATTAATCTCTGATAATCGGGAAAATAATATTTTTCTTTAAAAAGGCTTGTTTGTTTTTCTATTCCTGGATGTAATAATTCTACGTGAGCTTTAAGGACAATTTCCTTGAATTCTGCGAATGTTTGGACATCTATTAATATTGTACTAGTTTTCATAACTTTGGTTAAGTTATTTGGGCAGATAATCTCTACATAAGCATTTTGAAATATTATAAAGTCCATTTCACAAGGAAAATAGATATCACTTTTTTGGAGCATAGATATTCTTTAATTAATTCTTTTGCATATTCATGGGTCATTTCTTTATACATTATTTTAAGGTTGGTTTTATGAAAGTATTGAGTCAATTTAACTTCATTTGAATTTCCTCTATGGAATTCAATTTGTCTATTGTCTTTCCGTTATTTCTATATAATTCTGATTGTCTTCTTGTGCACTATGTA